CCATATATGATATATGATATATGATCTGTCTCTTATACACATCTAGATGTGTATAAGAGACAGTATATATACAGCCCTTTTGCCAGGATTTTTTTAAAGAGTGGCGGAATTTCATAAAATTTTGTCCAAAAATTTTAAAGGGTGGATACATTTTTGATACTACTTATGGTGTCGGATAAGATGCGGCATGACCTTGTCCCACAATTTAAATATTATTTAATCGATATATTTACTTAATTTATTTAAAATTTTTAAATGTTGTTTGTGAATTTTAATGCCCTTTTCTTAATTTTAATGGTTATTGAGTGTGAATTGTAAGCAATTTAGCCTTGGCTACAATTCATTTTATGTCAAGTGCTTTCTCCTTTTTGTGTTGTGTTGAATAAAATATACCATGAAGAAAATATACCATGAAGAATGCAAACAATATATGTAATGTACACTTAAATTAGAAAGGGAAACAATTAATCAAAACTAAGATGCGTACACTAAGTGTTGATGTGGATAAAGATTTGAGCACCCTTCCCTGACCCATCCCTTCCCGGAAAAAGTCTCTCATATTGTTTCAATAGGCCTAGGCCAGTAGGTTGAGTGTATGTTTAGTCAGGAGATATAAAGTTAGATGTTATAATTTTGTAATCATGGTCGAGTGCATATTTGCTCTTGTATTAAATAATAATTATAATACTATACTTTGAAGTGGTAATTATTTGTTGTGTAAAATTAGTTTTAAAATAATAGGAACCAACAAAATACTGTTGTATTCTGACTGCAGTCCATCATGTAGGCATATATGTACGGTAATTCGCAGGAGCAGTTGCTCTCCTGAAAAATCACTCTCCAATATGTTTTAGGAGAGAAAAACACAGGACCATATGATCCAGTCAGTGGAAGCAGGGGGGTAATTCCCCCTTCGGAAAGGCTGAACCCCCTCGTCCGACGCACACAACTATGTTGTCGGATCAAAAATAAAAAAAAAGTCTCATCTTCACTACTAAACTATGAATTTCAAGAAAAAACAAGACAATGATTGAAAAACATATTATAACGAATCACTTTGTAGAACTTTCTCGACGACGATTTTTTTTTACTAGCTTTCGCTCTACCCTATGGACTATTCAGTGTCTCGGAGCATACGGTAGTTACCCAGGAATTGTCCACCATTCTCCAAGATCTGAAACTGACACTGAAATACTGTAGAGGGCAGCAACCATAAAGGTAGTCGATCATGAACGCTTTGGGTGCATTTTTTTTTGTCGAAAGTTCAAAATACCTTCGAGAAAATGGTATCGCCCAGACTATTTTTTTAAATGTAACGATTTAGTGATGCCTGTTTTTTTAATGTAACGATTTATTGATGTCTGGCTGCTTTTTGTACTGTCTGGCTGACTTCGCCTTCTGCCGGTCTGCAGCAGGATGCAATTGCGTATATGAGCTGTATGTTCTTACATAGGTAAACACAATTTCAAAAGCAATTTCTGCCAACGTACGGACGATAACTGGTTCGTAAATAATTAATTCATTTATTTCTATTTATTTAACTTAAATTCAACATTATTAGGTATAGTAGATGCTTTTCATTTCAATAGTCAATATTTATGTCTTTTGTGATGATGGTGGTGACGATGAGGTCTATAAGGAATGCTACAATCTTTGATTGCTGGCGTACAACTGTATATAATATACTTCTTTAAGGTCTAACTTCCAAAAAAAATGTGTAGCATGTATTATTTATTTGAAATACTTACCAAGACAATCAGATACCTAACAGGATGACAGGTTTTGGAACATATATAATATAGTGTATTATTTACCCATTATTTATTATGAAATAAGAGATGATAACAAGGCACCACAAAAAATGGCGACACAGAGCCAGACTACGCAATTATTATAATCATATAACATATTAGATATAAGGCTATTATAAAGATGCTGCATGGGCCGAGCCATATATGATATATGATATATGATATATATATATA